CTTCTCTGTTCTGTCACATTGCCGAACTACCACCGACTTCACCCTCAGTCTTCCTTTTTTACCGAGCATTCATTGCTTCCACAATCCTCTCCTCAGTGCTATCCAATTTCTACTTAAGTGTAGTGAAAGCTCTTTTTCATTTGTTTTTACAGCTTTTACCTTGAAAGGTTTGAATATTTAACTATTTGTGTATAATTGCATTGGATCAGCGAAAGAGTGACAGATAAGAGAGCAGATCCTTTATGTGAAATATGAGGGAGAATGAGCAAAATAGTTAATACCGTACTGGTATGCGTATTAGTTTTGTTACTGAAACGGTACGTACCGGATATCGAAATTTTTTGTGTACATTTTCGGATTTATCGCTATAAATATATATTTTTATAAATTAAATATCAAATTTTAAAATAAGATAAGAGACACTAATATTTAAAATTATGATATTCTTATAAATTAAAAATAAGTTTAAAATGATCATTTTTAGTCTTTCAACTTTTAATATATGTATATTTTTCATCCATCCACTTTAAATTAAGGGACTAAAAATGTGTATATTTAAATAAATTTAACAAAATAATTGATAGAAAGACAAAAAAAGAAAGAAAAATGGACTAAAAAAGTATATAAAAAAGTTAAAGAATAAAAATTATATATGACATTAAAGTTGAGAATAAAAATGAAATTTACCCTTTTAAATTTGAATTGAGTTGTACGGACTTACGTGGATTGCAGTTGCAGGTTATGAAAAAGCCCTTAGCTCAAAACAACGTCGTTTTGGGCTAGAGGAATCCTTTTTTTTTTTTTCTTATACCGGTCGAAATTTCGGTGAATCGGCCGGTACACCAAAATTTCGACCGATACATCGAATTTTGACCGAAATGCTTGAAATTTGACCGAAACAAAAATTAACATTATATCATTTCGGTCAAATATCAAAAGCAGTACATACTGACCGTACCAGCCACTACAGTACAATATTAACTTCACTGAGAATGAGATATTTTTTGCAATTGGAGCTATCAAAGCATGAATCAAGTGAGAAAGATTGTTGAGAAAATATGGAAACAATCTTAGGAAATCTGACTCAGCAAATATGGAAATAATCCCAAGAAATCAAAACCAAATCATATTCAA